TTTTTTTTTTTTTTTTTTTTTTTAAGTTAAAAAAAAAAAACAAAAAGTGTTCAGATTTTTTTTTTTTTTTTTTATTATAAAAATAAAATTTTACTTTTTATTTTATTTTATTTTATTTTTTTTTTTTCATAATATAAAGTCATATAATATAAAATAAAAAAAAGTTTAACATGTCAATTTTTATTGATATTATTTACAACTCTTTTCATTACTACAATAAAAAAATTGACAATTTTTTTTAACTTATAAAACAACTATTTTAATTTAATTTAATTTATGTCTTTTATATTTTTTATTTAGTTTGCTTTTTTTGCAGTTTGATTAATTGATTAACTATTTTTTTTCATTTTTTTTTTATTGTAGTAATTTTTTTCAAATTTTTTTTTAAGTTTAATAAATAAAATCACAGAACGCTTGGCAAATTTGTTATTGAGTATGTTTTTTATTTATTTATTTAAAATTTATATAATATTTTTTATATATGTATGTGTATTTTTATTATTTAATATATTATGTCTTAATTTTTATTTTTTCAAAAAAAAAAAATTAAAAAATGTGGATTTTAATTTTTTCTTATATAGAAAAATAATGATCGTCATTATCATCTCTTGAGATTAAACGTTCATTTTGTGCAATTATTAGTTATGAATTTATCATTTGATTTCGATGTATTCTATTAGGCAAGAAAGAAAAAAGGATGATATACATGAAAAAAATTGAGAAAAAAGAGAATGAAAAAAAGAAAAAATATGCTAAAAACAGGCTGTTAAAATTGTAGATAAAAAAAAGTTTAATAATAAAAAAATTTAACAATTTTTTCAATAAAAGCTCATTCTTAATAATAAGAATCTTTTTTGGTATTTGTTAATTTTCAGTTTATAAACATCTTGACAAATAATCTTGAAATTTATAAATGATACGTTTATTCATTCAGTTTGATCTTTGGTTCTCTCGTCAAGATATTCAGGTAGGAGTTCTTCGATTATAGATAATAGAATCAGATTCAGGTTACTTTGTAGGATCTCTGCTAGAGGTCTTGAACTTCTCATTCAAAGTGCTATAGCCACAGAATCTTAGTATCACGCCTCGTAGTCTTCTATTACCTCTACTCTATTACGAGTAGAGCTTGTAGTCAAAGGGTTTGTTCATGGTAAACTTAGAATTTAAACTGCTCTGTTCGCTTGTTACGATGAAATAAAAGAGATGTCTTCTAATATTAAAATATGCTTGTCAGGTAATAATTCCTCAGTCATTGCGTCATTTACGAGTGTTAGTAACTTATTAATTCTATAAGTATCACTAATATCAAACGACCATGTTAGTTGACAAAGTTCATTTTTTCTGTCAGGTAGTTGTTATCCACGCGATGCTTAACCTTGACCCAGAAGTTCTTAGGCTCCCTTCCCCTAATACTCTTCTACGAAGAAATCAAGCATTAAAAACCCATCTATATTTCTGACTGTTTGACTCGTTATACCTGTTACTATCACATCCAGCCCCATAATTAGGGTGAGGTCGCAATCGATCTCAACTTCTTTGATTGAAGTTGCATTAATCTTATCATGTCATAGTAAGCGGGTTAGTATTTTTTTATTTTATTTGTTTTTATTATTTTTTTATTCTTTCTAATCAGTTACGTACCGCATATCAGTTATCACAACCGACGAACATTTCCCTTAAGTGAATCATCCTTTCATCTTCAAAATTGCTGATATTGTACTCAGAATTTCCATCAAGTGGGACGAACACCTTCACGCCACATTTTGATTATCTTCGCTTAATCTTGCGACCACAGCATTGTCCTTGATCATGTGTTCTCTCATCAGATGCTCTGTGTGGCTCATCACGTAATAGATAGTGGATACTTTTGCAAGCATCAGAATATGTTGAATTGAATTCTTTTTTTTTGTATTTTTTTTTTTTTTTTTTTTTTTTTAAAAATTTAAATAGACGAAAAATTTTTAATAGTCAATGAGAAAAAATCATTTATTTTACACGAGTACCAGATAAAAGATTTCCTCTATCATCCTTTGTAAAAAAAAAAAAGGATTTAGTATTGGTTTAGTCTGGATATTTTTTTTAAAATCATATGCTAAAAATGTATAAATAAGGCGATCAAGAGGTAATAGTAGACCATAAACTATACTAAAAATTGTCTTCAGCCATACTTAGTCACGATTCACAAAGAGAAAATTTTTTCTATTTAAATTTTTCTATTTAACGAGTCTCAATACGTGGGGTGGGTGGGTGGTGGAAAACAGCTAATCTACCACCCGTAGGTACGCGGTATACGGTATATGGTATATAGTGAACCGTGTAGTAAATTCAGAAGCATCTTTTTCCCAAATTTGGCAAACGAACTCTAGCCCGATAAGAGTATACATTGTCAAGTGTTTTTTGAAGATCATGCAGGATTTAAAAAAATTTTTTAAATTGAGGAATGTATAAAAAAAAAGCTTCGCATCCGTTTTAGGTTAAGCACAAAAGAAAATTTTATTCTGAAATAGGAAAAAAATAGGAGCTCTTTTCATTACTACGATAAATCAATCAATTAAAAATTGAAATTGCGAAACAATTGTGATATTCAAATGCTTTGAGTTGACGTGCGGTACGTGAAACATCATATTATTGGTTTGGCGATAAATTCGGCAATAATCAGTTATGACGAAAATTTTATTTGGAATTGATTTGTTTAATCAATCATTTTTATTAACAGATTGATACTTTATCGACTATGGAAGGCATTAAAAGACAAAAGTCATTAGATGCAAGTATTAGGTTCCGAGATAAAAAAAAAATTATTTTAATTTTTTTTGATGTATTTTATCGCGCAACCCACATTATTTTTATTATGTATATGATTTAAAAATTATTATGTTTAAGAAAACCGCATTTATTTTTTGAAAATACTCTTGAAATGTGATATATTGTAACCAATCAAATCGTTCTTATTTAACGCTAGCTCGTTTTATGATTAACACCCTAATCAAGTTTGAATTCGCGATTTATCAGGAAAAAAAAAAAGTTTTTTGAGATCGTTACAAAAAATGCTTGATAATATATCTTACATGATAACTCTGTGTAGAGTAGACTACTGAATATTTTTAATTTTTTAAATAAAACAAAGAAAATTTTAAATATCTCTAATTAATTAAATTATATCAAAAAGATATTCTGAAATAATAAAAATAAACCTATATAATCGAACTAAAGAAAAGATTCAAAAAAAAAACCAAAACAAAACCAAAAACCCGATCGTCACTCAAACCATTTAAATTTACTGCTCTTTAATTTTAGTACCGTTAACATAATCAGAAACAACCTTTGCCTTTTCATTCAATGAAAGTTTTGTATTATTTATGTCTCCAATTTTTTTCACTCTTTTTCTTGGTAAAATATTGTCGGCAAGAAGTAATGTAAATACCACTATATGTCCAATCCAATATACTGAATTATATGCAGTTATGACGCGATCCCATTTTAATAATTCAAATGATACCATTGCATAATGTAATCCACAAGTCTGACCAAACCAACACGCAAAATTATGTAATCTCCTTAAAATAGTGATAGAATAAGATTTATTCATTGGATCATATAATTGTTTAGTGTACGGTTCTAATCGTTTCACCCATCTTTTCTCTGTCTCAATATCTACAAATTCAAGGAAGAAACAGAAATAGTACCCCGGGTGAAGTCCATGCCATAAAGCAAGGAAGAGTAATGCACCAAGTGATGAAAGATTTTTATTTCCAAGGAAAATAAGTCGTTTAAAGATATATAACTTGGTCCAAAGATTCGTATTTGTGTTAAAAGCCGTAACAATTTGATTAAGCGATGTAGAAAATTCGAATTTCATCTTAATGAAATGCAAAAAAAAAAAATTTTAATAATCATTAAAATAATCAAAAAAAAAAAATTTTTTTTTTTCACATTTTTTATTTATACTTACAATGTCAACGTTGGCCAAACCGTTCCATTCCGGTTTACCGTTATCATCATAACCGTTAAAAGAAATACCGGATAAAATACATGATCCTTCGGCCAAAGTCCAGATGCCTAGGTACTAAAGTTAACAACATGGTTAGATCAAAAAGGACAGAAGAATGATGAATAGGGTAAATCAAAAGCTTTTCTTACCTTTGTGAAAGCAAATTTTCCTGCAAACCACATACATACAAGCCTTTCAAAGAATGGACTAGCAGCATATTCTTTAGTCAACAAATATGACATGGGAAAAAATCCTACACCTATTTGTTGTATACCTAAATACAATGCTCCAATAAAGAAACTTTTTAATGCGCATTTATAAGATCCCGACGGGATATTATTTACATCAGCATATAAAGACATGGTAATGAGTTTACGATAAAGGTGGAAAGAAAATTGTGGACCAATCAAGAAAGATCCAAAGAAATACGCATAACCGATGGTTTCGATCAAGGGAGGTAAAGTTGGTAGTTGAGAATTCTTTTCAAATGAAATAGGTTGCTTTGGTGTTTTTAATTGAGTAACTGGAGGATCGATCTTATTGTTATCGATTGTTTTCTTTTCAGGTGCGGATGATTTTAAAACTTTAGCTCCATCCATAAAATCCATTGAAAACCCAATCATTCTTAAACAAAGAACGCATTGTGGCATAGTCCAATCAACGTCATATTCATCGGTTGAGGTAACATAATAGCCAATGAGAATATAAGAAAAGTTGAAGATAAATGATGCAGCACAAGCAAGCTTTCTGTTTCCAATTATGTCTCCGAAATAACAAATAAGCCAAGTTACGATAGTTGTTATCAGAGAATGTTTTATATCACTTCCATTAAAAAAATAAGAAATTGAAAGGCCAGTCACAACGATATAAAGGTTACGAATAAAAGGAGCCCATATTGTTTTCATAGGACGGAGAAATGCGATATGATAAAAAAGAGCAGCCGGATAAGCGGCTAAAATACTAAGTAATAATCGAAGGACTGGTTTTGGGACACCGGTAGCGTCACTAAGCATTGTAAGAACCATGGTTGAAAAAAGTTTTGGAGAAAATTATTTAATATTAAAGATTGATGAAATTTTTTTTTTTTTTTTTTTTTTTGGGAGGAGGAGACGCATTAAATACCAGAATTCATTGGTTGATGAACAATATCAGATAAAGTTAGATGATCTTTTTACCTTTATTCCCTTTATCATAATACAAATAATACAAATAATGCAAATAATGCAAACAATTCCATACTTTTACCACAAAAACGATTATCTTTTTTATAAATACCATTATCTAATTCCTTTTTTATTTTATATTTTATATGGATTGTTGTAAATTATTAAATATTGTTTCTGTTCACAAACAATTTTTAATTTATACAATAAAATAATAAACATTTATTTTTGGTGTTAGCCAAATTCGAATGCATAAAACTTTATTTGATTGCAATATATGCAAATACGTCATCATTAAACAAAAATGGGTAAAAATTAGATCATCAATGAAGGGGATTTCTTTGATCATAAGAAAGAAATTGCGTCGCGACTAACTAAGGACGCACTAAAAAACGCGACTTTATTATAATAAATTAATAATAGTTGGTTGAAATTCACCTGACAAGCTATTCGAAAAAAACTAACACTTTTAAAGAAAATGGAAGGTCGTCAACATCGAACTTTTATAAAGAATAAATCTCAACATTTATGTAAAGACAGTTTCAAAAAATGGTGTTTAGAGCAATTCAAACGATCCAGAGAAACACAAGTAAACAAGCGTAGATTTGGGTTAAACTTAGAAAAAATAACCGGTGATTACGTAAACATTATACACGAAGAGGTATGTTTGTGAACCTGTAAATATGACGGCTTTCACTTGCTTAGATAATTTCTTACTATTTTGTTTAGACACTATTACAATTTATTAAAAACGAATGGATAAGCTTCTTATTGAATGAAGATAGGTTTACAGGCGATCTCAATCCTAGTGTAGCCTCGGAAATGGAGGAAGAATTGCTTCAGGAATTCAAAAACGGTATTTGCACAATAATTAATAGATAATTACATAGCATACAAAAGTAATAATGTTAATATATTTTCTTTGTGATGGGATGTTGATTTAAGAATTACCGATATATAATTCAAGAGATTTAGAAGAAGCAGAATATGCTTTGCAATATGAACCGGAAGAAATGTATCAAGATTCGGATATGATGATTCTTGATGAATATTCGCTAAATATTGATAATACTAAGAACTTTGGAGACTCACAAGGATTACGTTTTTAATTATTTTGCGTATTCAATAAAAACATTACTGTTGTACAAAAAAAAACAAAAAAATAACACATTTTCATATGTGGTACGTATTTGTGATAAATCGTACTTTTCAGCAGTTATTTGATTTCGATTTCATTTACAATCGTTATGGATAAGCATAATATTTGGACTCCCTTTATTGTTATCAATTCGCAATTGCGTATTAATAGCCCTTTAGCTTTTTTTTTTTTACAAGAAATTACCTTGCATGATTGCAAAATTCCGAATTCGATCTATGGATTTTTACCCGTCCAAAAACTTAGGTTCAATCAGATAAAGCTCGGTCCAAAGAACCAATGTTTGATTCTAGATTACTTAACGCGTTAACATTTAATCTGGGTATCTAAATTTTGTAATAAGCATATCTATACATGAAACCGAAATTATTTATTTCAATCATTCAACCGTTTTTTAAAAAAAAAAAAGTCGAAATCAATTATACCGTCAAAAATCATTAATGTTAAAATGTATTATAATTAATTTTATTGTCTTATTATATTATAATGAAATCAACAGAGTATATGTTAGTCATTTTTGGCATATCACAATTCAAAATACGTAGAAGATAAATATTGTATTTTTATTGACTTTTACATTTCTTTCTTTTATTAGTTTTTTACTTTATCAAATTAAAGCTAATAATCCTTGAAAACAAAATTTTATCAAAAAGAAATATTAATTGAATATATAGTATTTTAGTATTATGTTAAGCATAGAATTGTATCTTTTTTCCTTATGATTTTCTAATTAATACTATATTTTACTAGACTGAACTGTTATATATCATAGTAAAGAAAACTGGATCTCAATTAAAGATTATACAACAAGAAATTACTGATATAATACTTAAGCAAAGACCTAATCCTTAATATTATATTCTTAAATGATATATTATGTCATAAAAATAAAAAAGAAGTTTATACTATAATACTTTCTTAATACATATTTATAAAT